AAATGATAAAAATGTTCAAAAGCCTCTTGTCTTTGCTCAGTGCAGTCTTGTTGAGTCAGATCTCTTTCTATCTAGAGATCTAGAACCTCAGATGTCTACAAAATAGCCACCAAACAACATAGGTTGTTTTTGAATAGGACCTCCTGATGTCCTCTATGTAAAGAAGACTTCTGCCTCCCTTATAATACACATTTCTTGGAATAAGTCTTTCAGAACAAGAGTGCTGCCGCTTTTCTTTGGAAATCCAGGAACCTGCCTGCCTGAGAAGCTCATCTGACATGGAGGAACCCCCTTGTGTGAATGCCTGGTGGTTTAGGAGGCAAGACTGTGGATATCAAAGGAAAAAAGGGGCTTTCCTCCCTTCGGGGTCCTCTGTGTGACAACTCATTAAAATGTTCCACTTGACATTTCTGTATAGGCTTGAGGGAAAACATGGAGACAAACCGAAATGATTTTACTTGCAGCTACCTTGAGCTAAGCTACTGCTTTACCTGTCTCAAGAGTGATTTGATGGACAGATGGCACTGAGAATCCACAATCCCACATTCTGGTCACTTGACATTTGCAGTAGGTAGATAATAGGCATATAGTGCAACCTGGCATTTAGGAACTTGTTTGGAGTAAAATAATCATCATGATTTTTTTTTAAAAAAGAAAATGATGGGTTTGATTCTTTTCTTTTAAACTTGCTTGGGTATTTGAAGGTGCTCATAGAATTCTGTTTGTGGGAATTTGGGGAGAGCATTATGTTGATGTGTGCAGTGGAGAATTAAGACAAATGATAATTGAAAGAGATGATAAAAGCTAGTGGTTTCCATGGGGAAATAATCACGACCTGCTGTCAGATTGATTCCAATAAGAACACTGCTTTCTGTGAAATGTTTTTTAAACAGCTTACTCAAAGCAGGAAGCAGAGCACTTCTGAGGGCATCTATTTGCTGTCTGTATGTTTCTATTAGACCTCCATCCGAGATACCTCAACTTATATTATCCACCAGCACAGCTGTGTTTAGCTTCTTTGTGGTCAACACTTAGTTGGAAATGAGTAATATCAGGTTCCAGAAAGATACTATTTGTGGAACCTTAAGGTAATTCTATGTTTTACTATAAGGATTCACAGTTATTGATGTGTGAAGTCACTTTTGTGTAATAGTCCAGCTTGAGTACTACTTGAAAGACCTTTGATGCACTTTTGGGCTTCTAGCCATGGAAATCTTTCCTCATGATCTTTATTTGTGTTTTGTGTATTATGGAGTAATACTCACATACCCCAATTTCCTTGTGCCCTTATTGTACACTAAAGAGGATTCTCTCAGAGCCCCTAACCAGTTCCTTGAATTTATTGAGTGACACAGCTGTGTCCTGTACTAACTTGTAACAAAGAACCTGGCATGAGGCACAAATGCCCACAGAATGAATGAATGACTCTTTGATCAAACCTCAGTGCTTCTTTGCAATGGCTGCTGCCCAAAGGAACTTCTGCTTTACTCTTCCTGCTCTGACTGATGGCAGGGACCAGCCTTGGCTTCCCTATTCTAGTCCCTCCCTTTGGATTGGGCCAACTGGAGGCAGGAGAGTGATGGATGGGACAGAGAGGGTGGAGTGTGTAATACGATTGGCTATATTCCTTTCTTACAGGTCCTCTCTCTATACTACTTCCCTAGGTCTCAGAGGCCTCTCAGGTGTTAACAGCCACAGACATCACATTATTCCTCAAGTACATCCTTAAATCTGACCTTTGTAAATGGTCTCTGTGCCGTTCTCATCTATTAGTCAGTTTGAGGGTTCCCAGTATCCTGCTGAGTCCCGAATACTTGCCAAGTCACTCAGATGACAAAGTTGATTTAGCCTAGATATGACAATCTGATTCTCTTGCATTATTACAAGTAAACTCTCTCTAGAAGAGATCAGCTGACCTCCACATTAGAAATGACTAAAGCAGGGGTCAGCAAACTACAGCTCGTGGGCCAAATCCAGCCTGTGGCCTGATTTCATAAGTGGAACTTTAGTAGAACCAGCCACAAGAAGGACCATTTGTTCACTTAACTGTATTCTGTCTGGCTGCTTTGGAGCTAGATCAGGAGATGAGAGGTTGTAACAAAGTTCATCTGGCCTGCAAAGTCTAAAATGTTTGTTATTTGACCCATGATAGAAAAAGCTTGCTGAACCCTGCTTTAGAGGAAAATCATACTTGTGAATCTCATCATTTCAATCAGAAACTTCTAGACTAAATGCTGAGGGCACTTGTGCGTAAACTGGAGGTTATAGACCCCAGGTCTTACAGGCTGTCGTGGAGCACTGTGTTGCTGTGCTAACTGCTGCAGCAACTTGGGAAAGCAATCTTTCCATGTGATGCAGAAAAGGATAAGACCAAACACAAGGTGACATTTGTGTTTAAATGTGTTTAACTTGTGATTTCAGAACTAGTTTTCTGAAAAGAATAACTCTCCCAAATGTCTTATTTCCATATCCAAGTTATTTTGCACAAATGTGATACTCTCTTCTGATCATTATACCTCCTGAGAGAGTCTAGGTCATATTCAGATCTGTATTTACCATTGCCTGGCATGGAGGTGCTGATACCCAATAAATAGTGATTAACCCAATGATTATCAATCAGAGAAGAAAAAAATAAAGGGGTAGAAGGTAGATAAGCTAGTATTCTTTGACTTTCTCTGCTCTTCCTTCACAGGACAAGAGCAATCTATGACAGGGCTGTATCCACCAAAGACACCTCACAGAAGAGACTAGCTACATAAATTTTTTTCCTGAGACGAAGCCTTGCTGTGTAATTGTCTTATTTTTTTCCTGTTGCGGTGATAAAATACCCTGACAAAACCAACTTAAGGGGTTAAGGGTTTATTTTGGCTCATAATAGTTCATTACAGTCCATCATGGTGGGGAAGTCCTGGCAGCAGGAGCTTGAGCGGTTGGTCACATTGCACCTGAGTCAGGAAACAGAGAGCGATGGGTGTTCGTGCTCAGCTCACTTTCACCTTTTTTTTTTTTTCTGTCTTTTTGAGTCACGTCTCTCTGTAGCCCCAGCTGTCCTAGAACTCACTATGTAGACCAGGCTGGCCTTGAACTCACAAAGATACAGAGATCCGCCTGCCTGTGCCTCCCAAGTGCTGGGATTAAAGGCATGAGCCACCACGCCCGGCTACTTTCACCTTTTTATGCCATCTGGGATCCTAGCCCAGGGAATAGTGCTACCCACAGTGGGCAGGTCTTCCCACCTCAATCAAGCTGATCAAGATAATTCCTCATAGACATGCCCAGAGGCCTATCTCTCAGATGATTCTAGATCTCATCAAGCTGATAATTGAAATTAGCTATTAAATAGACTAGGCTAACTTTGAACTTGCTAGCCTCCTTCCTCAGCCTCCTGAGTACAGGGATTATAGGTGTGTGCCATCATGCCCCATTGATCCACTATATAATTTGTGAGGTCCAGTGCAAAATGAAAATGCAGGACCTCTTGTTCAAAAATCATGAAGAATTTCAAGATCGAGTTAGGCCAAGCATGACCCTAGTGAGCTTCCACATTCCCCTGAATGGAGCCCTGAGAAAGAGGCAGCTTGTAGTGGTTAGAGAGCCTCTTTCAATCTAGAGGGGCTTCAGGGTGCTAAATCACTACAGGAGCAGCACAGGCTGTTGCGGGGCTGAGCCTGTGGGCTCTGCAATGACAGGCTTTAAATATTTCATTACTTCCAAAGTGTTTGCATGCATCTCAGATCCTCACACAGTAAGGGATTGCTCTTTCAAACCCAGATACCAGCTTCACAATGAGTAATCTGCTTGCCCTACCCCCACTTCTTGTTTCAGTTTAATCCAGAGTCACCCAGGACACCTCCATCTAAGGGTTAACAATTACATTTGTACTAATGTGTCTCATAGCCAGTTGGTTAAATGTTTCTTTTGGGGGAGGGGGTGTATGACAGATAGTTCTTGATACAAAGCCTGCCTGGAGAATACTGTATGTACAGGAATGGTCTTTTATCTGGTCCTCAGAGCCTTTCCCTGACCTCTTCCTCACCATAAGTGGGCTTAAGGCTGCCCTGACCACTCTGCGGGAGCTCCTGTTCCATGACCCTTGAAGTCTTTCCTGAAGGTAGTCCTTTACCCTGCCAGCTGCAGGAGGGTCTTCTGCCGTCCATTGCTTCTCTACCCTACAGGCTGAGCCTTCCTCTCCCCTTGGAATCTCTGGGAGGTCTCCAGATGGTGACAACTCTAGGCATGGAGGTTTGGGCTCCAGCAGAAATTTCCTGATGAGATTCCTTTTGCCTGGAGGCCTTCCCACTTTGCTTCTTCCAGATCACTGCTTTCTCTAGCCCTTCTGCCACCCATCCTTGCTGTAAATGGGACTCAGAGCACATCCCTAACCATCTGTTAGTGGGAGTACCTCAGAACCCTGTTGGCAAGTGTAGGCTGTCCCACAGCCTCCCCCAAAGCCACCCTCCCAGTCCTGGGGCTGCCTGCTCAGGGTCCTTGTTCCACGTGCAGGAGTTCAGCAGTTAGGCAGTTTTGCCCATCTCCCTGTGGTGAGGAAGATATCCAAAGAAAGGCCTGTGTGTTTCTTTGCCATGAAGTTAACACCTGAGCTTTATGGTGCTGTGAACTTCAGAACTGTCCTTTAGGAGCACAGATTTCCAAAGCTCTACCCTTAGGAAAAATAGTAGATAAGGACCTTTTCCTTCTGAATGGAGAGAGGTATCATGTGGTAGGTATAAAGCCCACAATTAAGGGACTGAGAAATGGAGTCAGATGGAGTTTGTCTTTGCCCAGACAGTCCCCAGGGCTCTTTGCCACCAGCTTTTTGAACTTGGGCACTGACTTTCTCACACTCTGTCTTCCTGTGACTGATGTACCCTTAAATTACAACATCTCTTTGCACTGGTTTTGGTGACAGCTGAGGCAACCTTGGCCCAATCTGATACTCCCTCTGCCCTGCCCGTTCTCTCATCTTTACCAACCACCTTCGTTCATTCTGTCTCTCACAGGGTCCCCGGTGGCACATAGAGCTCCAGCCATGGGCAGGCCCTGCTCAGTCCCTGGATGAAGAGGCCTCGAGGTTCCTGAGCTACATCAGCACCACTCAGGTTGGGTTTCCACCTCAGATGTGTTTGGAAATAATGTCAAAGACCCTGACTGAGTCTTGTAAGAGTTTGTCCCCCAGGGACTGGAGGTTGTGAGTGATAGGGACAGGGTAGGGACTTGGTTTCTAGTTGCTGCTGCTCAAATTTCTCCACCCTGTGGAGGCTTAAGATGACTTCCATTTACTTATCATCTTCTTTCTTCCAGGACTCTCATCAACCTGGAATGTTCTAATGATTCATCCCCAAGTGTTTTAAAGAGTCACTTTAGAAAATTGCTTTGGAAAGCCATTTGAAATGACAGATTTGTCCCCGTGAGTAGGCAGTCAAGTGTGTCACAAAACAAAACCATCATCTGGAAGCTCAAACTCCTATTTGCATTTGGAAGCATTTGCCTGACCTGTGTGCTTCCCAGCCTCAGATGCTTAGCAGCCAGGCCAGGCAAGGGAGCCAGAAACTGAACAGAACTGTAAGATGTTAATGACTCCGGCACTCACTTTCCTCTCCTTGGATTGCCCTAAATCATTAGTAAGCTCAGCCTTTATTAGTGGCTTAATACACAGTGGCAGCTCCTGCCCAGCTCGAGAGTGAGGTGGAGTCATGTCCTGAACAGGCAAGAGAGCATCCATTAAGGAGAATCTAGGGCTCTTGATACATTAATCAGAAGGTTTAGTCTCATGTTGCCTGATCCTAGGGAAAAGGCAGGTTTAAGATGAGATCAAGGCCCAAGGGACACTTGGCCCTGAACTGAGAGGTGCCTGTGAATTAGAATATTTTGTGGCTAAGAACTGAGCACAGGCCCACCCTGTGACTTGCTCTGGGGCAAGGGTGGCCTAGGGGGTGATTAGAGGGGCTCGATCCTTATTTCCTTCAGTCCACTGGCTCTTAGCATTGCATTAAACCTCCTTGATAGCAAAGCTTGGTTATGAACCGTGGGAGAAAATATATCCTAGCCCAGTCTGTCTTCCTCCTTTTCTCTCTTCATGTATCCTTCTCTTCTCCTTTTCTCCTTCCCTCCATCCCTCTGTCCCTCCCTCCCTCCCTGTCTTCTTTTGAGAGAGGCTCTTGCTATGTAGCCCAGGCTGGCCTTGAACTCAAGATCCTCCTGCTCCAGTCTCCTGAGTGCTGAGATTACATGTGTGCCACGGTGTCTGGCTCATTTCTCTATTTTTAGAGGGCTACTTTAGGAGTAAAAGTCCCATTTCTTATATGATACAGCCAGACAGTCATGGGAATTTTAATATTTGTCACCTAGACATGGAAATAAAAGCTTGTGGAATTAATCCTTGACAATGGGATGATAAATTAGTTCAGTCCCTGTACTTTACACAATTTTATCTTATTGGGCTACTGCAAGTTAATTTGGTGGACTTATGCAGGCTTAATTAAAATACTGAAATTTTAATTTTACAGTTTGGCTTTACACGGAGGATAGGTGGCTAGAGCTTTTAATTATAACTTCACAAAGCTCTTAAAGGCCTAGAGAAAAACGAGAGCTATTAAATTTATAAACTGAATTTGAGAACTATGAGCTTCACCCTCCAAAATTAATTTACTGAATGTGAGTCTCCAAATTTCATATTTTTTAGGTTAATGCTCTGTAATTTATATAAGGGATATCTACTTAGATGGTAGCATTTATTGGTCATTTCAGACTTTTCTTGAGTTGTTCTTGTGAACTATGGCCTGAGAGGAAAAAAAAAGTCTCAGAAAAGGAAAAGGAAGCTCCCTTTGACGTGATGTAGGCTAATGTTGGGACCTGGACAATTGATCTGGCTTCCGTAGCTATCCCTGTTCTGATCCTAAGAAGAAAGGAATTGGACCAAATTGTCTCCAAAGTGTCCTCCGTGATCTTGTGCTACACAGAAAGTAGAGAACGGTGGTCATTACCCAAGTATTTTTGAGCACCTACATATGCCGGGACTGCTGTAGACACTGGGGGTGCAGTCTCCCCCTCAAGGAGCTACAGAATGAGCTGTGAAGACAGATAGGTGGATGCATAATCATTATGCAGCTTGTTGAGTGCAACAGTAGAGATTTGGTTGCTGAAGTGGTAGGGGAAAGTTCTTTCCATCTCCCCGAGTTCTGCTATTAACTGTGATCCTAGACCTAGGATCGTAATTAATTCAGGAGGTGGTAAGTTAGAGCAAAGCAGCCATGCTTTGCTAAACATATGTACATGGAGATTGTCTCAGTAAAGAAATGACCAAAGCATGATGCTCTCATACTTTTTAGATGAAGAACAATAAACTTGTGAAGGAACAAGTTGCTCAGACAGGAAAATTCTAGGGATTTTTACCACTGATGTATGGCATGTGTTGGGGGTGGGGCAGTGGAACCTCAAGCATTAGCAGGAGCTAGGGGTAACTTTAAAGTTTGTTTATTCCATCTTATTGCAGTCCCACTTACCAGTCTATGGCAATCAAGGCTATTTCTGGGCCTTGGTATGAAAAGGCTACCCCATCCTGAAGAATCTATAGTTTCTTACATGGAGGAAAAGTCAGGCCAAATGACTCTCTCTGAAGTCATAGTTTCCCAAGTGATTGCAACTTGAGGTAATAATTTTGTCAACTTGGCGTATTTTGAGGTAGAATGTCTTGAGTTCCTTCAAGACTCCCTGGAAGGATTTTTGTCCTTCAGAAAGACTATGATAGATTGCAGACCTCACAATGGTCTGTAATCAGGACCCATTTTATCCAGGAAAAGCACTGTGCTTGGATGGTTTCCAGATTCCTAGGAGGTCAGCAAGTGGGTATCATCACAGATGACACTGATTCATTGTCAGATTCTTTTACCAAACATTGCTTCCACCCCTTCCCTGTGTAACTCAGAGTTTTGGGGTGCTTTTTTGGCTTATGCTTCATTTAGAAGTCACCTCTACAGTGAAAGCCTGCAGAACTTGCAGAACATTAAAGTCACTGTTACCTAAAATTTTCTGTTAGCAATGGTGAGTCATAGCAAGCTTGGAAACAAAACCCCAGAAAGTACTAAAATGAATGCCTTTATGCTGTTTAAATTTTTTTTCCCTTAAATTTGTGCTGAAGCTTATATAGTAAGGCCCAGCACTTGATATGCTCATGGCTGAGTTTTTTTATGCATTGGTACAAGAAGCTTTTATTATTATTATTTTATGTGTATGAGTGTATTGCCTGTGTGTGTATAAGTGCATCCATGTCATGCAGAGGTCAGAAGAGGGGGTCAGATCCCCTGGAACTGGACTTACAGATGGTTGTTAGTTGCCATGTGGGTGCTGGGGAACTGAACCTGGATCCTCTGCAAGAGCAACCAGTGCTCTTAACCACTGAGCCATCTCTCCAGCCTGAGAAGCATTTGTTGAGCACTTGCTCAGTGTCTGGCACTCTGCTGGTCTCTGAGATCGCAAATCTGAATAAAATGCCCCCCAGTGATAAATAAGATGTCCTCTAACAGAAAGTGGGCAGATGGGTGGAGAAGGCTCTCTAGCCAGAGGAGTTTGGGAATAGAGGCACATGGGGCAACATGGCATTAGACAACCATGGGTACAGTGCCCCTGGACTTATGCATTGCAATGACTAACATGATTGGAGCCCTGCAGCTTTGATGTAATACCAGAGGATATGGCATTTGACAAGAGTACGCAGAGCATCCAGCTCAGTATAATTAGCAATGTTGTTTTCTCAATATAAAAGACCATGATTACATGGCAGAGTTTTGCAGTCGATAATATAGTCGGCTGCTAACAGGAAATGGTTAAATCATAAGCACGCTGCTCTGTTCTGAGGAAAGGCTCCAGAGCCAGCTTTTAATGGCAACCCCCAAACCATATGCCTTCAGGAAGCAAGCTTTGCAGTACAGAATTCATCTAAGCAATGGTGACTGTTCTAAAGAAGAAAAAAATGTTTTGAATTCTTTCTACTGCCTACCTATCTATAATCCATCTCTCCAATTATCTACCATCTATTTGTAAAAATAACCTAAGAACTCAGGCTCTGGAGACACAGATTATAACTTTGCAACATTATAACAATAGCGTCTATTATATTTACACGAAGAGAAAGAAAAACAGCAAAATATCATTTCTGCCCTTGAGCTTTTCAAAATAATGGAAACATATAAACATACAGTTAATTGTTAAGGGATTCTTGCCAAAAGTCTCCGAATTTTAAGGACTCCTTTTGCCACATCCTGTTCATGGATTGGTAGAATTGCTATTCAAGCTTTTGGGATTCAAAATGAAATGAAAATACATTAGATTACTTTAAGCTAAATTTGAAAAAAAACAATTTCACAAAGCATTTTTTTTCCTGGAGTCTCTTTTCCTTTGTCCAGACCTAATTCACTTTATATGGCTAGAATTACAAGGGGAATTAGGCAGGCAGAGAATATAATTACTTCAGCTGGAGCTCAGCTTGAAGTCGCTGCCCTCACTTATTTTGCTTGCAAGTGAGTTTATTGAAACCCTGGCTATAAATCTTAACCAGAAAGTTTGAAAAAAAATCAATATTTAATTAATTTTTAAGAGCAGAATTTTATGGAGAACTTTTAGTTATTTTCAAAAGCTAATGTCTGTCGATAAAATGGTTAATGAATAGTTAAAATTGGATTATTCTTATGCTCTATTTTTGAGCTAAGAGAGGAAGAGGAATGGAAAAGAATATCTCTCTGATAGGAGTATATCTGTCCAAGATGAAATCTTAAACTAAAAAAAGTGCTGAATTAGGTAAGTGTCATCTTCACTAGAGCAGACCCTAGACCATGGCTTCATTCAGCAAAGGAGGCACAGCTGGACCTCCAAGCCCTGATTCTTGGCCCTTAGTTCCTTACTTTGGGATGTCATTGGTTAATTGTGGTTGCCAACCCCTCTGTTCCTTTGTTAGGGGGTCAGAGAGGCTTTTAAGTCGAAAGTTGTGACCCAGATCTCATCTCCTTCCTTAACTTGCTAAGACACAGTGAGATCATATTGGGTCTCTTTATCTAGGACTCTGCAAAAGATCAAACCCTCCAATAAACTCTAAGGACCTCTGCTTAGGAACCCCTGGGGAGCTAATTAGACTACAAGTTCCCACATATCAGTCTTGAAGATTCTGATCCTTTGAAGATCTGGAATGGAACCCTATCTTTTTAGCTATGAATAAATCTCCAGGTGATTCTTCATCAGTTTAACCACATCTTAAGCAACACTACGGCAGAGGCGAGAGTGGGGTTTTGATGGCATTGGAAGGTAAACAGGAATATATCTTATATGTCATCATGGATGGTCTTAGGGAAAAGTGTCCACAAAGAACAGTAGCAAAGGGAATCTTCAAAGCAGTTTAGTAAAAACACTCCAGGAATCTGCCCTGGAGCAAACGGCTCAGGCTTGGGAAGTCTAGGACCCACAGAATTGTCCTTAAAGATCAGCCTCTTGTAGGAGACTGGAATGGAACAGAGTGCCAGGCTCAAGACAAAGTAATCGTTCTACCAGAAGATCAGGGCCCAGTGAGTTCATAGAGCTCTGACCACTTAGACTGACCACTTCCCTGCCGTTGGGTGGGTAGGGAAGAGCAGGTGGGCTGACAGAGGCAGAAGTTCCATTTCTCTCTGGCCAACGAGAAGATGAATTATACAAGCTCACATGCTGATACATTGTTAGCACATGTAGTCTGTAGCCATTGCTTGAGAGATGATTCAATTTTATTTTCCTATCACTATTTTTCCTTTTGAACAGTGATTGGAGACAGAGAAGTGGAATGATCCTGGATTAAAAGGAAAGAAAAATCCCTTGTTTTCATTGTTTGCTTGCTTGCTTTTTTGAGACAGGGTCTCATATAGCTCAGGATGGCCTCAAATTCCCTATACATCAGAGGATGATCTTAGATTTCCAATGCTTCTGCCTCCAGCTCTCCAGTGCTGAGATTGTGCCACCACACCTGGCTGTTATCACTTTTAATTTCCCAGGGATCAAACTCGGGCCATCAGGCTTGGTGGCAGGCCTTTATTGCTGAGCCATCTCACTGGCCCTAGAATACCTTAAGGAAGAGAAAATCAATTGTTGGTTACCAATGAAGGACAGCATTGAACCTCAGAATATGTGGCTGTGCAAGCTCAAACCCAAGCCACCGTCCCTATGAACTTCATTTGCTTGGAACTTGAAATTAGAGCATCTTTCTGTTGGACTTCTATCCACATTCCCTTTGTTTTTTTTTACCTAATTTTGATGGACTAGTTAGGAGAAGTGCTTCGGTTATCTGGGCAGTTCTTTCTGCCTGGGGCTCTTGCCTTCTTTCTCAGGAGCTGGCTCATATGAGCAGATTATCACAAAGAATCCTGTCTTAACAACAGGTACTGCCTAGGAACGGCACTAGACCCAAGATCAGCTATCTACTGGAATAACAGGTGTTACTTTTCTGACTCAGTGTTCCTACCATATTTGCTTGAATAAGTCACAGATAAACTGTGAACATCCTTCTGAGATATGTGCCTATGGTTGTATCACACGTATTTTTTAAAAAAATATTTTATTTCTTTTATTTTATGTGTATGAGTGTATTGGCTGCATGTAAGTGTACCCATGTTGTGCAATGCCCATGGGGGTCAGAAAAGGGCGCTGGAGTCCCCTAGAACTGGAGTTATGGATGGTCGTTAGCTGCCATGTGGGTGCTGGGACTTGAACCTGGGTTCTCTGCAAGATCAGCTAGTGCTCTTAACCACTGAGCCATCCCTCCAGCCCCATATCACACATCTTTTGAACAAATATATTTACTTTTATGTGTATGAGTGTTTTGACTGCATATATGTAGGTATACCACATGTATGCAGTGCCAGCAGAGACATGAGGGCATCAGAGACCCTGGAACTGGAGTTACTGACAGTTAGTAGCTGCTATGTGGGTGCTGGGAACTGAACAGGCGTCCTTTGCAAGAACAGGGAGTGCTTTTAACAACTGAGCCATCTCTCTAGCCCCATATCACACATCTTGCACTAGTCATGCTGCCCTGTTCTCTGGTTTCCCTTCTTAATCTGATCTTCTATCAACTTCCATTCACCAGCTCCCCCCAAACGCACCTCTCCGCAGCCTCCTGACCCGTCCCCCCCCCCCAATCCTTGCTTCCAGTTTTCAATCTGAGCAAATGGCGACAGCAGCCCTTAACTCCCCTTCAAACCTGCATTGAGTCTCCATGGCATTACTTCTTATCTGGCATATAATTGAAATTCCTCTGAACATTTTACAGCAGTCTTGTGTTTCCCTGGGGAGGAGAGTAGTTAGCAGTGGAGGACATAACTCTCCTGTTATGGTTTTCAGGGATGGGGAAAGCAGTTAAGTCTCTACCTGCCATTTATCATCCAACATTTTAAATTATTCATATTGATTTCCAATCCTTACAGATTGCATGCGATCATATGGGCACAGATAGCCTGGCTACTGACTCGATTCCTGCAAAGAAGCCCTGGCTGGTGTGTCTTGATGACAGGTTTGGCTTAGCTCATCAAATCCGCAACAAGCAGTGCCGCCTCTACTCTTTAGGGTAAGAACATTTTGTATAGCAGAAGAGAATGCAGACATTTGTGCATGCAGCCAAGGCCTTTCAGTGGCACCAGGGGACAGCTGGTGGCAGTGTGTGCGGGCGCTGTGCTTTGTTTCACGTCTCCACTTTAGGCTGATCTGCTGTGTGCCTACAGCAGATCACTGACTGTGGTCACCTTGAGAAGAGACACTTTCTCTCCCATTCCTCTGCTACGAAGTTGGCAGCCTCAGTTCTCAGTGTGAGGACCATCCTCTTGGAGAAACCAAAGGTCTTCAGCTTAAATCAGATGACCTTTGTTAGAGAGAAGAACATAAAGGAAAAGAGTATGCTCAAACTTTGGACAGAGTTATGAATGACCTAAGACAAATAATGGTGACTACTGGATTTTTTATTTTTTTGTTTTGTTTTGTACCAATAACCCAATGTGAAAAGAAAAGAAATTTAGATGAAAAGAAAGTAAAGGGAATTCTCAGAAAAGCATGTGATTTTTGTCAAAACAATTCAGTTATTCAGGTTGAAAATGACCTCAGTGTATAAATGAACTCAGATAGCTTTTTGTGTAAGAATGGATATAAAGTAATAAGACTCTTTCACCAAGTATATCAGTACTTTTGTATGCAGTTCTGAACTTACAAATGACGCAAAACAAGGCAGGAGGGAAATATTTCTGTTTGCTCTATAGACTCCTAGTAGGATTCAAGTAGGTTCCCAGGTTAGACCACTGAAGTCTTTTTTTTAAAGTAGTACAGAAGACCCTGAAAACATCACATGTATGTTTCTCTCCTATAGGTTTCACTAAATTTATTCTTTGGTCTACATTTATACACCTGCCAGCCAGACTCTGAGGTGGTCAAGGGCAGAGGCAGACATCTGGGGGATGTGAAGTGATGTAGAAGGGGTCATCATTGCTAAAAAACTGCTACAAACAAGACTTACTAGTCCTTGGGCTGAGGAAGTACCTCAGTTGGAAGAGTGTTTGTCTAGCGTGTATGTAGCCCTGGTTTGACTCTCAGCACCACATAAGCCAGGCATGATGGCTCACACCTGTAATTCTACTACTCAGGGTAGAGGCAGGAAGATCAGAAATTCAAAGTCATTTTCCACTACATTTGGAGTTCAAGGCTAACTTAGGATATATGAGACACTGTCTCAAAAAAATTACTAGTCATTGTGGATTTTAAAAAAGCAAAAGTTTCAAGTAAAAGTTTAAAGATAATGAACATATTCTTAAATATGTTGATATTGAGGCTAGAGAGATGACTCAGCAGTTAAGAACACTGGTTGTTCTTGCAGAAGACCTGAGTTCGAATCCTAGCACCCACATGGCAGCTAACAACTGTCTATAACTCCAGTTTCAGGGGATCCAATGGCCTCTTCTGACCTCCATGTCTTTTTTATTTTTAATTTTCAAACTTTATTTTCAAGTTTTTTTTTTTTTTAGAAGCATTTCATTACAGCTTTAACATATTCAGTAACAATTTCCAGAGCAAGGATACATCTCTTTACAAAAGTGGCTGTAAATTTTTAGGTTCACAGTTGAACTAATACACTTATACTGTATACTGTATACAGTAATACTGAGCTCAGTATAAACCCTATAAGACATAAAATTGAATGAGTTTTTAACCTTTAAAGACAATCTCCATTTCATTTTAAAATACTCTCTTTCCTATATTTAAAAAAATTTTTTTTAAATAGGTTGCTATCTAAGGGTGGGGCTTGGCATGCAGAAGGCACTCAATATTTGTTCTGTAAAGGAGTGCTTGAGAGGGGGAATCTGGGACATGAAGCTGTTTCTGCTGTGCTTTGCACAGCCAGTTGGTTAGAACTGAGCTCTTTTTCCTGGAAGTCCACCAGCTATGCTTCAAGACTGTAGGAAGAATGGAAAGTTGTGACAGCAGAGTTTATTTTATGTCACATTGAAATTTTGTGAAAGTAGGTCAAAAAATAATTACCCAGTACAGCATGCAAATTAGAGCTGTCATCTTGGTCCTTTCTTTGTTCCAAAATGCATTTATATTTTGCTTAACATTTTATATCCTGGAATAATTTCATTTAAAGTATATAGCTGAATGAAATAAAACTCAGAAAGTTGGTTGGGGGAAAATTTTGAAATTCTTTTTTCTCCCCTTACTGCTTTCAAGTTGTTAGATAAGATGGTTGTGCGGTAAGATGTTAGATTATTACGTATAAAAAGGCTGGGCTGTTTTCTTTCATTTATAAGTTTACCATTCAAAATCAACTCTGTAAAGAGCAAAGGAGAACTTGTGAATTTCACTGGGAGCAGAAATGAGTGGATTATAAGGATCAATATTGGATGAAAAGCATGAAAGCATTCATTGGAAACTGGAATCTTAAAAAAGTACTTATGGTGGGAAAAAAGACACTTGGATTATGGGTAATGGTGTTGACTGTGCTGAGATGTAGGGGCCAGAGAAGCACCTCCTACTTGGGTAAACTGTTGCAGACAGATTTCTGTTTGATGTCTCAAGTGATGCCGAGAGCAAATGAAGAGGTGGTCCCGAAATGAGGAGTGACAACAGAGAACGTGGGCCCTGAGATTTTAGCACCTGGAAGTGTTAGGACAGTCATTGACGAGGAGGAATCATATAGCCTCTCTATACCGGAAGTGTCTATCTAAGCTCCAGGGCAGGGTAAGACTGTGCCTCTGCTGGACCCAGTGATCCCCAGGCAAACCAAAGATGCAGATGCAAGTAGGGGGAACCATCCTGGAAGGAGGACCAAGGGTCAGAAAGCAAAGGCCAGTGGCCATGTCTGATCTGTTCCACCCCATCTCCATCACCCCAACAGCTGAGGCAGGTATCACCTCTACTGTCTCTCTGATGGCTGAAATTTCTCAACTAGGAGTCAAAGTTTTGTATTCCACAGTGGATGCAAAAAGACATTTGTCTGATGCAGTGTGATGTTGTGTCAAAAATTAGAATCAAGTCCTTTTCAGATTTCAAATGAGGTTGAATAGACCAGTGGACCTACAGAAAGGGACTGAAAAGAAACGGTAAACGTTGAAGAGAAGAAAGAAAAGAGAAATAAAAAGTCTGTGGGTTCAGAGGATGGTATACATCTCACAACTTCAGGTAGACTCTTCCTGGCAAGTCCTGTTTAGACAGTGGTGAGGAGATGCCTGGGTGGGGTGGGGAGGGAGGGGAAGGAGGATAGATAGAGCAAAGAGAGGGGTGTTGCCTGTTTTACTTTCAAGCCACTGGTCATATTTGAGGGGTAGAACTGGGTATGAGAGGGAAGACAGAGGTATAATACATAGGGAAATGCTCTGCATCTCCTTGTAGTTCTGGGATAAGTTGTACTACTTGGTTTCAAGATACCACTTCTTGGTTTAAGAGAGATTTCCCAAGTGACACAGGTAAGACAACAAAAGCCAATATTTTATATAGAAAACCTGGAAATTCTGGTGGCTGAGAGCAGTTCAAGAAGCATGAATGAGCTTCACAGTTGAATCCTTTGGTTTTTACAGTGTTTCAGTCAAGCCAGCAGGAATGGTGTTAGCATAGTATATGTGGATGAGGAATGAGAATATTGTGGACCCCCATGTCCCTTTCTGGATGCTTTCCCCTGATCACTTAGTCTATGGTCCTGTAATAACATAGATATACGGTATCTGCTTATGTAATATATAATAACTATGCTTTCTGTGTAAAAAGAGGAAGCCTTCCTCCTAGAATGCATTTTATTCCCTTGGGTGTGATACTGTCCTGATGAAAATGTGTGTGTGTGTGTAAAACAGGGTCTCTCTGTGTAGCCATGGCTCGCCTGGAACTTGTAGAGATCACAGAGCACTGCCTACCTCTGTCTCATAAGTGCTGGGATGGCTTCATATTTTAGATGAAAACTTGTCATATCATGCAATGTTAAAAATACAAGAATCAATAACTATGAAATATTTGATCATCATCATTTATGTTATGAGAAACCTATTTTTCTCCATCCAGAAGTTGGCGGTTTACAAATTTAGATGATCACCCAGCTGGAGTCCCTGATCTTGCTGGTGTGCTGAAACACTCCAAGAAAGCACTTTTTACCTCTTCCAACCCCCATTTTAGTGATGAGGTTTAAAAAACTTTCCCAATCTCTACTCTAGATTTATTTCATTATTTTAACTTTTTAAACAGCTTTATCTACCTATAACTCATATGCTTAAATACACACATACACACCTCAGATTTTTTTGTCATTATACTTATTTTTAGAACATTTTCATCATCCTCTCCTGTATTCCATTTCTTTTTATGTCTAACATTCCACTGTATGGATATACCACGTCCTGTTTCTTCACTCATCAGTTGATGAACATTTTGCATTTGGGGTACTATGAATGTTGAGATGAACATTGATGTATAATTTTTGAGTGGACATCTTTTCATTTACCTGGAATATGTAACATTTACATTCCCACCAATAATCTTTGAGAGTTACAATTTCCCCATATCTTGTCAACACTTACTGTTATTAACCTTTTCAATTATAGCCCTTCTAGTGATTGGGAAGGGGTATCTCATTGTGTCTTCAAATTTTATTTCCTCACTGGCTAATGATATTGAGCATCTTTTCATGACCTTATCCTCTAGGCTTTTGATTCCAAGGGTTCTGTCCTGGTTAGTTTTTGTCAACTTGACCCAAGCTAGAATCATCTGAGAAGAGAGAAGTTGAGGAATAGCTTCCATCAAACTGGCCAGGGGCCATGACTGTGAGGCATTTTCTTAACTGATGTTTGATGTAGCCTCCAGGCCATTGTGGGGAATGCCATCCCCAGGGGACCTATACTGTAGAAGAAAGGTAGCTGAGCTCTGCTTCCCTGGGCCTGCATGACCCTCAAGCCTCTCTCTGACAGGCAGGCCTCTCTGCGCGGTAAGTCAATTGGGTCCTCCACACCTTGACTCCCCCAGCCTCATTCACCCTCCTATCTCCCCCATGGGTCTCTCCTCCTAGCCTGGGTCCTGTCCCATTTCTTCTCTTGGTGCCCCAGA